ACTTGTTATTCTGAGACAGAAACATGGTTGTTCTGTTAGAAAATGTGAGCTTCTGCTTGTTATTGTGGAGAGGCATGGAAATGGCCGTGTGACCCATCACGGCAAGTGCGAGCTGCCCAATCTCATACTAAAAGGAAACAATTTACCAGAACGTCGTTGCCAGATTAAGATTCTCAGCACATAGCAAGTGAATTACCATGCCTGTAATTTTCAAGAAGAAAAGGAAGCAGCAAAAATACAAAACCAAGAAATGGAAGGAGGAGGACACTGGGCTAAGCTTTGGTAAGAGGCACATAATTCACTTCTGAGATAACAGCTGGCTAGACTGCTCTGTTTCATTTCTGAAACAAAAAGATGTTGCAGGTGAGTGGTGCGCAAGAAACTGTCAATTGCCCTTGGAGCTGTTTTGAGATTTTATAGCCCAGAGATGAGTAATATTCGAAGAGCAGGTCTTCAATATTTTGTGTGTATGTTCTACAAAACTACATGCGGAGGGAAACATTTTAATATATTGATTTGGCAAAATAAATCTCTATCAATGTGTATTTAAAACAATGAATTAAAGGGGAGAGTTCTTAGGGAATTCTACTACATACAGCTTGTGAAGTGCATCACAGACAATAAGTACAATAACTCAGGATTGAGATGGAGGGGAAAGAGGTGGTCTATGTGAGGGAAGAGTGGGTGGGAAGCAGCTGGTGTCTCCTTCCAGCTCGGAGCCCTTGAAATATGAGCTGTGGCTTCCTTCTCTCCACAAGCCCCACTTTAATTCCTAGAGCAAAGCAAGGGAGAGGAGATAAGGATTGGATGAAGCGGAAAGGAGAACTTATTAGGGTACAGAAGTGGTGGAGTGACAGCAAGACACCCTTGGAATAGGCTAGAGGCTTTCATTTTAACCCTTTTTTTTTTTTGGCAATGACCTTACCACATCTGTTCACGATGCTATCCTGTTAGTGAAGGGGACCAGGCAATGCTTCTGTGATAAAGGCCCACCTGGGACCAGAGGGCTGGCGAGTTCGAGCACAGGTGGTTTGGATCAACAGGTGCTTTCTGTTATTGTAATTCAGCCCTCACCTGCAGTCAGGCCTGGCCAGGCCGTCCTCACTGAGAGGGAAGTAGAACATCTGGGCTGCTATGTGTTTTTCTTATCTTGCTCTTACATTTCAAAGTGACCTTTTGTTCCAGTTCCCTTGAAATGGAAACCAGTTTTAGTTCAGGGCATTTCTCTGTCTCTATTTGTATTTTACTAGAATGTGGGCTTTCTTACGAGGAACTCAAGGGTATTAGAAATTCTAGGTCTTCTTGATGAGGATAAACCAGCTGTGACATTATATGCATTTTTTCAAGAGCACTTGTAGAAAAGGGGAGATGAGTGTGTCCTTCCTGATCATATAATTTATTGCAGGATCACTGTAAGACTTAAATTCTTGCTTATTTTCTAGATGGGAGATGGGGAGTGGGTGGCAGCTTAGACTTCAGCATCTTGTTCATTCATCCTGGAGGGAGGCAGGGATCCTCTTGGATGCTTGTGAAGAATACCTAGGCACCAGACAGAAATGGAACACCAGCCCTGGACGATTGTAAATGTATCTTTTTATCTCTAATTGAATTCTGAGGCCTAAAGTGGATCATGTTCCGTAACAGAGCTATCCTTCACAGACGTCTTATGAGAACACGAGATTTCACCCTAAGGGTCAGGCCAGTGGGATTCCTTCCCGTGGATCCACACCACTGAGACCATGCTTGTCGTTTAGGGCCAGATCCTAAAATAAAAGGACATGCCGTCGTGTGACAGCATCACAGGCACACATGCGTGTTGATGGCTGTAGCATGGAGGCCTCGTGTACGTTCAAGAGGGCTTCACTTTCTGTATCTTCTCAAAACGGTCCCCATATTAATCCTGACAACTGCTTTGTATCGATAAGCCAGTTTTTAGCATCTTTCCACCACCTATTTTCTAAATATTTTGGGATTCTAGCCTGATGCTAAGTTCCTGCTCCAGCAAGAGGAGAGATTGGAAAATTTGAGTCCTCATAAAATTTCTAAGCATATCAGAATGTATTTCCAAGAAGATGTGGTTCTTCTATGGAGGCTTTTGCCAGGCTAGAAGATTGTCCTCTCTCCTGAGGGTACCGGAGATTCATGGGCGCATAAGGATGCTTTCCAACATCACAGGTACAAAGACTGTGGTTCCTTTAAGATCTGGAGAGTTCTGGGAGGAATCTGAGCCAATGAGGCTTCCAGGTCACCTTCTCTAACAAAAACCTAGAACAGGAACAGAACCATCTCTGCCTGGAGCTCTCCCTGCTGGGTGGCCCATGTCTGCGCTCAGTCCTCTCTGCTCTGCTCTCAGGCCACTCTAACCCATGTCCTAACTGGCTTGACTACCTCCTGGGCAACTACTCATCTCAAACTGTGTCTGACCTCCTTGGACCTACGCCAAACCCCAGAGCCACCCACAGCCAGCCTCGATCACTGTCTAATCCCATTGTCTGCCTTGGGCAAGGCTGGCAGTTTGCTTCCTTAAACATGCTTCTATGTCTTTTGCTATGGTACAGACACACATCGTTCAATGTCAGGAAAGATAATACTTGAAATCATCACAACCTCAATTCTGGCGGACTAGGCCGTGCTCCTTGTTCTGGGTGGGAACAGGAAGCTTGGCTGACCAGCTGAGAATTCAAGGGCTGCTGCCGGAGGTTGGGATGGCAGATGGGGTCAGAACGGGTCGCAGTTCCATGCTGACACTGGCCGCTGGTGTGAGGGTCCTAAGAGCCTTGGGGGAGTTGGTAGGAGTGAGGGCGTATCTGGAGCCTGAGGCAGAAGCTGCTCTTTATTCCTGGTCTCTGGCTTATCCTGAAGGCCTAACAGAGCCACCAGGACAAGTGTGGTTCCAGGGAGAAGCAATCCGAGAGCTGAGAGTTTCTTGGTTTCTGTGTCTAAATGGGGGCCAAGTCAGCCCTTGGTTGAGTTGAACTTCTGCGGAGTCTGACTCCTCTCAGGAGAATACACGCCCTGACCCCTTCCTGAAGGAGCAATGAGCATTTATTAAGCTCTCACTAGGAAGAAGGCATATGGGTATTTTGTAGAGGCCACTTCATTAAATTCAATTCTATAGCATCGCAGGAGTATATATTCTCATCAACGTCTTACTGCTAAGGACATTAAGGCTCAAAGAGGTAAAATGACTCACCCAAGATCACACAGCCAATAAGGAATGGAGCTTGGTTTGAACCTAGGTCTGCTGCCCTCCACAGCCCCTAACTGCTCTATGGACAGGAAGAGAAATTTCCGCAATGGGACCTTGGTTAGGCAGCATTACTTACACCAGAAAGAGGTCTTCTTTTTTTCTTTTTCATGTGCACACACATTAAGCACACAGAATTCCCCTCAACAGGGAAACGTATCAGCGAATTTCAAACATTTCATTTTGAAAAGAGCAAGTTATCTCAGGCCATAGGAAAGTGCCCTACTGCACAAAGCAAACTACAGCTTGCAACATTCGTGTGTTGTCTGCTGGGCAAGGCTTAAGAATGTTTTTCTGTCACTTAGTTACTTCCCGTTCTTTTCTTTGAGTTGCTTTATCTTTCAGTTCCCCACACTACCATCTTAATTAAGCTTTTCAAATGTGATACCACCTTTTCATAAATTTTTAGGAGTCCACTGTTTTCACGACTATGCTATTTTGTTCTAGAAACAGAGGTAACACAATCAATCTTGGATTCAAGAGGAGGCTTTGAAAACACTGAGAAGTAAAAGCAGCAGCTCCAAAATACCTCCCTCACAAATCGCCCCTGCCTCTTGCACTTCACGGCGGCCTCCCGTGCTGGGCCCCTCCCACCAGGGACCCTGATGGCAATAAGCCCAGTAACGATCCATTTGTTTTTCTCCTCCTGCTTCCACAAAAGGAAATGCATTATTCATTGATAACCTTTCTCTCTCCTTTTGTGTTTTATCAATACTAGAGACTATCGGAGTTTCATGTCGTCTCACAGACTGTGATATCGGCTCTTTTTAGTGGCTCTGATGTGAGATGATTCCACTGTCATCAGATACCATCAGGGCCCATGACCGCATCTGGGGAGCAGCTCTCAGCTTCTCTTAAAGCTCCAGCTGTCCTTCTTAATGGCTCTCAACTGACCCACTTCAGCAGAAAGCTGGCCACACCTCTGTTCTGTTCACCTGGGGATATGCCACTGGCCTCTTGTTTATCTAACAAATACCCTACCAGATAGTAAAACCTCCTTTGGAATTACAGGGGCCATGAGCAGATCTTTTCTCCATACTCTTTTTGATCATCAGCACCAACAAAATTAGGCTGAGTCCTAAGAGCTACAACTGAATGTTTCATTGGTTGGGCCTATTCTTCAGTCTTTGAGGACCAGGGTCCCTGGAGGAGGGACTTCAGGGTCTTTTTTTTTTTTTTTTAACACCAATGAAACCCTGTTTTAAACAGTTGCTCCTTCTCCTGCAGAGCCACCTGTGGCTTTTAATTTAAATGAATAAAAATTAAAATTTCAGTTATACTAGTCACAGCTCCAGAGTTCAATAGCTACAAGCAGCCAGTGGTTACTGTGTTGGACAGCACGGTGGACATTTCTACCACCCCAGAAAGTTCCAGTAAATAGCACTGGTCTAATAGTAGTAAGAGTTAACATTTTTGAGCACGTGTCATGTGCCAGGCACTATTCTCAGCAGTTTACAGACATTAATTCTCTTTCTCCTCCTCACAGACCTGTGAGTTAGGTACTATCCTCTGTCCCATTTCTAGATGAGCAAACCTAGGCACAGAGAGATTATTTATATCAAGAAGCCACTTGCATCACACTGCGCATATGTGGAACAGACAAAACAAACCCAGGCGGTCTGGTTTCAGACCGCAAACTCTGTACCTTCTGATCAAATTGCTTCTCACCCTACATGCACTAGGAAGAGATTCAGCCCCAAACTAGCTTTGATTTCAATAAATGCTTTTATTTGAAAAGACTTAAAGTCTATAATCTAGTCATCATCACGTCTCTGCCCTCCCCTGCCCCTCCCAGCTCTCAGCAGATGGTGACCTTCCAATGTGCACAGAGGAGTGAGGCAGAACACCTGGCTCCCTCAGCCTCTTTCCTCACTGCTTGGATGCTGCCCTGTTTCTCCATCAGTTTCTGTTTCCTTCCCTGTTGTCTCCCCCTGGGAAAGGCGGATCCCTTTACAGGCCTGCTTGATCTCATCCTTTCCCACCTCGGAGCCAAGCTGCCATTAATTTCTCTTTTTCCCGTCGACTTCTGTTATTCTTTCCTGTAAGGTTCTTTGCCTTTGCAGAAAACATGAAGTATGCTCTTTTCTACTCCTTGGTGAAACATCCCAGTCTAACTCCTAGTCTTTCAAGACTCCACGGGCAGCCTGTGTCCAGGGAGTCCTTTGGCACCGTTACCTCTCCTTGTCCCAGACCAGGCGCGGGCCCCTCTCCAGTGCTGCCTACCTTGATCCTAGTCCTTACACACTGTGATGAGCAAGGTGTGTACATTTCTAGTTTATCCACTGAATTGTTTACTGCTTGAGCATAAGGATCAAGTTCTAATCATCTCTGAATCTCACCAACTAGCCCAATAGCATAAGGTAGGCACTGGATACTAAACACTGATTGGAATATAACCATGTATTCTAAAAAGAAAAAAAATGCAGCACACACCTAAACATGCCAACTTTCTTTTGACCCTATTCCTCTTTGGATACTGGCTTATGGTATTTTTCCTTAAACTTCGTGAAACATTTATCTACAATCCTTATCCATTACCAGTTAGTATTTATTCCCTTGCAATCTGGCCTCTGCGTCCACTGAAAAAACAACCTCCTAAACAGATGCAGTCTGTGCCTTGATAATACATTTCTGAAATCTGCAGTGTTTGATGTTGACGTTCCCTCCATAATACCCACTTCTGCCTTGAGTTCTGCTCTTTCGGCATTTGGGCTCTCATTACGTCTTTGGTGAAAGCACGTCTCGGTCTCGGTCCACTTGGCTCACTCCTACCCTTCCACTGTTCATGAATTATGTATGTTCCTTAAGCTTTAGGATATTTTCTCTCTCCCTTTGTGATGTTATAAATGTCTATGACTTCAATTATTTTCTCCATGGAATGATTCTTGCATTTATATTCCACTCATGTCTTTTCTTGGCACCTTTATTTTATGTCCTGCTGGTTTTTGAAACTTAACACCTGTCAACTAAGTTAATCATTTTTTGCTGTTAAACTTGTTCCTCCTCCTGACTTTCCAAGTTCTTCCAGTGGCTTCGCTGCTTCACATTACCATGTCTCAAACTCCTCTCTGATGCCGCCTGTATCTCCAATCCCCTGTGCCCAATAAGTCATTATATCCTATTGAGTTTTCCTTTGAAATTGCTCTCACTTCTTCTTTCCCTTTCCCCCGCCTCTCACCTGGCTGCCTTACTAATCAAGACCCTTATTTAGCTCTTGGCTGTACTACTGCAGCAGTCTGTGAGCATCTAGCCTACCCCGCCTTCTAGTACATCCTTCACACCACTGCCAGAGTAATCTTCCCAAAGAACTCTGATTACGTCTGATTATGTCTTTTCTTTATTCAAAATATCTTTAACGATGGCTCCATGCCTATTTGATCAAGTCCTTATCATTCGCTTGACAGTCGAGGACCAAACATGTACAACAATTTTTCTTTTCCTTTTTATCTCCCACGGTTCTCCTGCACATATCCTGAATCTCTCGCTGTTTCCCAATATACTTTACAGTCTTTTACCTCCATGCTTTTGTGTATCTTCTCCTTTCTGCTCACATCGCCCTCATCCATGTCCCCCTCTCCTCCGCCTCCAGCTCTAATTATTAAAGCACTTTTGTTTCCATGCCCTGTTCAAATGCCACCTGTTCCATGAAGTCTTTCCTGATGCCTTTCACCAGGAATGATCTCTCTTGCCCTGACCCTACCCCATTTTCCAGGGGCCCCTGTGAGACACCCTGCCTTGTGCTTGCCACTTGATTGCATCTTCTGTGAGATGGTAGCTCTTGAGTGTGCAAGCACGTCTAATTCATCTTCATTTTCCCCAAAATATTTTGCTAAGGGCAGATGCTGAGCCAGTATTTGTTGACTGTGGGAAGCACCCAGCTTTTCTTACTATGTTCCTTTTGTCCAGTGTATAGTATTATCATCTGCACTATGAGAACTTCAACAGGAATAAAAGAAGATATGAAAGATTTATTAAATGATGGTAAGAAGCTCTGTGGTGCATCTGCCATTCAATCTCTCAAATTCTTTTTGGATGATAACAGAGTATAGGTAATAAATAAAGGCAAGTGGAGAGGAGAGTTAAATTTCCATCTTGACCTCATCACTAGCATTTCTGTATTGTGGATGGATTTTTCCATTTCTTAGTTTCTTCTTCAGTGGGATCAGTATCCCTGTGTTATCTCAAAGGAGCCACTACCAAAACAAAAGGGTCATTTGCATAACAGCAGATGACCTGCCACTTTGAAGTGTTGAAGCTCTGTGGCCATCACTCCAAGCCATTGTGCTCTTTCCTCTGAATTTCCTTGACTCTTCTTGGATACTCTACTAACTTACACCTGTTACAGTTGAGCACTAGCTCTGAAAACACGTGTCCACACCCTAATCCCTGGAACCTGTGAATAGTACACGACATGGTTAAAGAGTAAATATTACCTAGTAAGGTAAAGGATGTGACTAAGTTGAGACTCTTGAGAGAGAAGCTTCCCTCACATTATCTTGGTGGATACGAAATTCAATCACATATATCTTTGTAAGACGGACACACAGAAGAAGACATTAGGAGGTGAATTCGATGTGATGATGGCGGAAGAGATTGGGGTGCTGTAGCTCTCAGTTAAGGAACACTAAGGATTGCCAGCAGGCATCAGAAGCTAGGAGAGGCATGCAAAGAATTCTACTCTAGAGCCTTTGGAGGGAGTGTGGGCTGGCACCTTGATTTTGGATTTCTGGTCTCCAGAACTGTGAGAGAATACATTACTGATTTAAGCCATCACATTTGTGATAATTTTTATGGCAGCTCTAGGAGGCTAATGTACCTGTCCCATCCTGTGATACATCCTATACTGATGTTTAATAGTTGCATCCATGTTTTGGGTTTCTTATGAGCTACTTGAAGAGTTGTTGACAATCACTGTACCTGAGACTTTTCATTCAACAGTAATTTCTTGAGACTCAGTTATGTGTCAGGTACTCTTTTGGGTCTCAAAGCTACAAAAACTATTAAGATCTCATTCCTGTCCTCAAGAAATCATGTTTTTTAAGGAGGCAGGGAAGGCTAAGAGGTGAGAGGGATAAGAAAGTCTTCCTAGAGGAGGTGACATTTAAACTGAGTTCTAAAGTTTGAATTGGGGTTAACTAGGCTGGGGGTGTTAGGAGATAAAACAATTTTGGGCAGAGAAGATAGTATGAACAAGATCACAGAAGTCATACCTCGTGATGTGTGTCCATGTGTGAGAAACTACAGGGTTATTGGAGACAGTGGGGTCAGGGCTTGGTGGGAACCACAGATGGAAAGTTATGGAGGAGACAGATCAAAGAGGCTTCATACGCTAAGATGAAGGGGAGAAACCAAGAGTTCTCATCTTGGTTAAATCACACAGAGTGGGTAGGAGGTTTCAGCCATATAGGAGGTACTTAGTAGGTGCTCCCTGAATGACTTTGTATTAAAATGGACACAATTTATAATGAAAACTATTAGCATTGCTATGCAAAATATACTGTTTTCTTACTGAATAGATGTCTGAACCTGTTGGTTATCATCTATGAGAGTGTGGAGAGGGTAAATGTAAGATTAACACAGGACTATATAATGAATATTTTATAACTTGCTACCTTTCAGATTGCTTATATGAGGTCCGTAGAGCAAGTTTGTTCACTGTATGTGTACTGACTAAAAACATCTTAGTATCAAGACAAAAACTTAAAATTCTCTTTGCTCTGAAAAGTGAGAACTTATTCTTGTGAGGAAAGCAGGTGTCATTGTTTATCTGGTCTGTTTATAGCAATGAAAGGTGGAGGTATTGTTCAGGCAGTGAGACTCAAAACTGCTCTAACTATGGTAGAGGAGCTGTCCCCATGCGGTATGATTATGACTTTTATGCTGTCAGTACTAAGTTCCATGGAATCAGGATGGAGTTGAAAAGTAGGCGCTGGATGAGAATGCTGTGCTGGCAAAGAACACCCAGCTGTAAGAAAGAAATGAAATTAAGTGTTTCCTGTTACTGGATCAGAGTTGTTAGGACTCTGCACATGTGATCTCTGACACAAGCTGAAATCAACTATGTTGCAAAAAAATTTTGCTTCCTGACATGTTAGCAGATTAGAAAATATTCTACATGTGAAAAGCTCCAAGTGGGCATTATAAAGTGAAGTGAATTCCTGAGAAATGTTTACGATGTGTCCATGGTTTTGCGCTTTGCCAGACACAAAGGAGAAATGATTTCAGCTTATGAAGGCCTCAGGGTTTTGTTGGGAAAGAAAATGATAAGACACTTAACAAAAATACGTAATTATATGAAGCATAGTGTGATACTTGGAAGTCCCTAAGTGGAAAATCCTGTTTGTCAACCTGATTAAAGGGTGAAAGAGGTGGGACCTGGGTCTGATTCAGGCTTAGAGGACTGGATTTGAGTTGGTGTGGCAAGAGAAACAGCTCAAGTGGAGGGACAGTGTGGGATTAATAACAAATGAGCATGTTTATGGACTGAAAGGAGACAGGTTGACTGCAGCAGTGGATACAGATTTGAGAGCAATGGGATGTTTGAGTATATATGTTGGATCCAATTTGCAAAGGGTCTTGATTTATTTTTCTACTGCTGCCATAACAAATTACCACAAATTTAGCAGTCTTAAAGAACACAAAGTTATTATCATATAGTTTTGTGGGTCAGAAATCCAGTGGCCTGGGCTGGTTTCTCGGCTTTGAGCTCATATGACCAAGGTTAAGGTGTGGGTGTGGCTGGGCTCTGGTTGGGGGGGGGACCCAGTCAAGTTGTTGGCAGAGTTAATTCCATGTGGTTATGGTGGTTACAGGCGAGAACAAATCTGACTCTACATTAGATCTGTTTCTTTTAAATAGTCTATTGATTGTTAATCACTAAAGGGATATTATTGCCTATAAGCTTAAATTACACATAATGGCTCATTTCTGGGAACCCTGCTTCCCAGGTAATGAGTGTTAAGCCAAAATACCTTTGTTTAGCTCACAGGAAGCATCCTGACCAGACCCACCTATGAATGACTGCAGGAAGGAAGAAATGAACACATCCTCTCTGGAGGCTATGGGAACCAGGAAATGTTTGATTTTACCTCCTCTCCTTTTAGTATAAAAGAAGCCTGGATTCTAGCTCAGGCAAGATGGTTCTTTGGGACACTAGTCCACCATTGTCTTGATTTGCTGGCTTTCTGAATAAAGTTGCTATTCTTTGTCCCAATGACTTGTCTCTCGATTTACTGGCCTGTCCTGTGGTGAGCAGTACGAGCTTGGAATCAGGAACAATAGGACTGAGGCACCTGTCTCCTTGCTGGCTGTTGGAGGGAGGCTGTTCTCAGCCTCTAGAGGCTACCTACATTCTTTGCTTGTAGTCCCCGTCCTCCATCTTCAAAGCCAAAAATAGCAGTTTGAGTCTTTTTCACACCTTGAATCACCCCTCTCCCTCCCTCTTCTGCCAAGTCTCTCTGATTCTTCTGCTTTCCTCTTCCACTTTTAAGGACCCATATGATTACATTGGGCCCAATCAGATCATCTCCTAAACTCCCTATTGCAAGGTCTGTAATCCTAATTCTATATGCAAGGTCCCTTTGCCATGTAAAGTTCTGGGTTCCAGAACTCAGTGCCAAAGCAGAGGGGTTTGAATGGGATCCAAAAGGTAACTGAGAAGCACTTTAGGTCCTTAAACAGAGGAGAGGTGTGTGGGTACCCGGGGCAGGCTGATAACATGGAATTCCTTTAAACCAGTATTATTTAACCATTCATGCAACACTAACTTTGAGGCGGGGCTGAGCAGTACGTAGGGAAGGGAGGGAGAGGGGAACCACTGGTGGCCGTTTTTGGCCTGAGACCGGGCAATTCTGCTCTGACCCAAACTTGTGAATTCCACTCAGTAGAAGAAAAGCCTTATAGCTGATTGTACACGCCCTCCTTAGAGGCGGTTTATCTAACACGCCCATAGTGGGAGGCTCATCCTCCCCCAGCCCCATGTGGTTATCAAATTCTTCTTTCTAAACATTTGCAAAATTTCTTTTTGAGGGTTCTAAAACAAATACTCTACATCTCATTACCTTTCCAGTGATGTTTGTGCCCCCTTTTATAGAGTGACACCTTAGGCAGCCACCCCTGCTGTAGCCCCAGCCCTGAACTGGCTCTGTGACATCTGTTCATTTTTTCCTTCATGAGCTGAGCACTTGCTCTGTCCAAGAATTGTTCTAGGTGTTGAGGTTACTGTCCTCACTCAGCTTATCTCCGAGTAGGAGAAGAGAGTCAAAGGTCAAGTAAATAAACATCAGATGACTCAAAAATGCAGAAAATAATGATCAGGTCTGGAGGACAGAAAATGATGGGTGTAGATGTAAGTGACATGTGAGTAGAGACTCGAAAGAAGTGAGGGCTTAGTCACGTGTCTCTCTGGGGCGGGTGCAGTGACCCGGAGGCCAAGCAGAGGGCGCATTCTTGGGCTGCTCAAAGCAAGTGGGTCCTGGTGGCCAGACTGGGAAGAGTGAGCAGAGAAGAGGGCTGGGAAGGGGGTCACCGAGGTGTGGGGAGTGCTGAGAAAGTCATCTGTCACCAGTTTGCACTAAGCAACGTTCTAAACCCACGGGTAAGCTCTTATGCACTGTTCACTCCACGATTTTAGTATGATTACTGTGCAGAAGGATTTATTTGTCTCAAGAAATTTGGACCAAAGAACAAAATAACATATTTCAAGTTCTGGGTATGGGTTGCTGTGAAAAATTAACTTGCTATATGCATTTATTGACTATTGTTTATGCCATAAACAAAGCTGCTCTTCTTCTATAATAGGAAGAGTTGGTAATCCTGTACCTTTCTTATTTTCCACCCTCCACATTATTATACAATAAAGAGTGGAATATATAATACACTGCCGAGAGGGTAATGAGCAGGATTCAATCACACATTGAAATGAATTTTTACAAAAATCTGAACCATGTCCAAGTTCTTCCATCTAAGCATCACTTAAGAATCTGTTTGTTCAGTTGAGTTTCATCTCCGCAGCTGCCAAGCCACTTTAGTTCTGCCAGCTCGACGCTCTCTGATTGCAAAATAAAGGGTGGTCACTTAACTGTGGATGTGAAGACTACGAGTGTTCTGTGAAAAGAACATTACGAGAAATCCCGATAATAGACAACTGGAGGCTTCCCTCCTAGGTACCCCAGTAGCCCGAGGGCGATTGATTTTGGGGGGTTATTCTCACCTTCCCCGCATCTAGGCAGGCATTGGCGGGGTGTGTGTGCTTTTGGAAGATGGCCGCACTTTGCTGCCGCTGAGAGTCATAAATATTTTTGTAGTATAATAGGCTGTCAAAACAAATCTGTGTTTTCTATTTGTGTGTGCGTGAGTGTGTCACTATGCCTCTTAATCTTTTTGTCCATCTAGAGGTAGAGCACAAATAATTTGCTTTCCTTGTGGATTTTTCCCTTCTGGGATAGATTTGTGCTGAAAAGAGCATGTGGAAAATAGGTAAATCGATTGATGACCGTAGGATTTGGGGGAACAGCTCTTTTATCTTTATTTTAACGGTTCTGTATCTGCGCTGAAAACCCAGACTGCTTTCAAGCATTTTCAATGGAAAAATCCCCTCTGAAGGTTGGCATTAACTACATCAATGAACTGTGGAGGGACAGTCAAGGTGGACTTATTGACAACACACCTGCGCCTGTGGGATGGAGCTGTGTGTTCCAAACACAGGCACTGCTGATGGCTTTCGAGTCAGGGAACTGATAGACCTGGGCTGATGTCCACTCAGTCTTATTGGCTGTGTGACCTTAGCTGAGTTCCTTAACATCACTGAGCCTCCATTTCCCTAACCTGTAAAATGAGGGAAATGATGCCTCCATCCTAGGGTGGTCGTGAGAATGGCATGAGATAAGGTAGGGAAACTGCTCGGTGTAGTGCCTGCACCTGCTAAGTGCTCTATAAACGGTAGCCATTTTCACTCTCATCATTTTTCTTTGGCATATTTCACTTTGATGGCACAGCACACAGACTTGGCATAAAGCAGCCGTTGTTCTGGTGCACGGAAATGTAGGCCCCTGGAGGATAGCACATCCAACCCTGAAACCCAACATGTACCTTCCTTTGCATTTTTCACAATATTTTTCTCTCTTCAAGTAAACCTAGAGAAAACATTTTGCTGCTTGCTGCATGAATTGGCCAGGAATTCCAGTTTCCAAGGAGATGGTAAATGGATGTATTTGCGTATGCTGAATTGCCTCAACTTCAGAAGAATTCCTCAGGGAATTCTTCAAAAGAAGCAGAGCATAATGGAAATGCTTTTCCTTTTTTCATAAGCCATAGAAAATTGTGTGTGTGTCTGTGTGTCCTTAGTGATCTAAAAGTTCCTTGGAAGTGGTCAGGCAAAATGGAAAAATTTGCTAATGAAAGCTTTATCTCCCTATGACTGCCATTTTATATGTCCTTTCAATTAATTTATCTGGGGCTTTGGCTATTTAGAAAAGCATTTAGTGCAATTTGGAATTGTAATTGGGATCTTCTGTACCATCTGCAGTGCTTGATGCAACTCTCTGGCTTCACTGCGGTTACATCACAAAGGAGGCGGGAGCTGAAGTCTGTTTTCTGCTCTAGAGAACCCCACAGCCGCCGCGCAGTGTCTGTCCTAGATCGGGATTCAATACTGGTTAATTGATAATAAAGGTTTCCTTCTGGTGCACAGTTTCCATTAGCGTTTGGGACGAAGAATTGCACATTAGTATTTTAAAAATTATGGATTGCTGAGCAGAGGATGCAGCTTTCAAAGGCTCTTGGTTTTAATTCTAGATTGACAACAACAGCCCATGTGACACTGACCCAGGCCTCTCTTAGTCTCTGTTTCCATTCAGTCAGTTGTCAGATGGGATAATACAACTGATATGCCTTCTAGCTTTGTAAGGAGAATTGTGGCTGTGCAGTTTTAACATAGCTAAATGCTGAAAATTTTAGTTAGAGCCCAATGTTGTTCTTTTCACAGAACACTCCTGCTTTTCTACATCTGTGGGTTAGTGACCACCCTTTATTCTGCGGAGAGCTGAGCTGGCTGAACTGAAGTGCCTTGGGCCCAGGATTGATTGATTTATGCATCCCCTCATCATGCGTTCGTTCAGCATTGAGTGGCATAATGTGGTGCAGAGAATAATTGTTTTAGAGTTAAGAAAATTGAAGTTTGCATCCAGCCTCTTTTACTAGCCTCAGTAAAATCTCAGTAAAATTCCTTCCGCTTTATGAGCTTCTGTGATGACATCTATGGAGGGGGGTGGCTGTGATGGTTACAAGAGAACATGTAACTGAAATGCCTGCACAGTGTATTGCTGTACAACATAATGTACTTTCTAACTACTATGCTCGCCATGCATCCCATCGCAGGGGATTAACAGAGTCCTTGTCCTCAAAAGAGTTTACAAAATCTAGATAGGGATATGGAAAGAGGAATAATTATAACATTAAGAGTAAGCAACAGCTGAGCTGTAATGGAAAAGAATCTGGGAAAACATATATATGTATGTATAAAAAAAAGAATAGATGGAGAACCATAAAAAAAAAAGAGTAAGCAACAGCTGTCCTGGTTTATTAAAAAATGGGTCTATGGATAGTTGGGGCTGAAAGAACATGTGGTAACCTGGGTTCAAGAAGAAAGTCTGAATGAAACATGGTTGGCAGCCAACCTCACCTTCTTGTAGAGTTACTCCTTTGCCAACGCCTTCTTTACCAATGGCTAAGTCGTAATGAGACCAAAAAGCAAAATCTTTGTAGCAGTTTGCTGTCAAGGGGATTATGTTTAGTTATATGTTAGTTGTGTTGGATTAAGTATCAGTAAAGAGTTTGTTTTCTCAACTACTCCTAAATAGATTAAGTGACACACTAATGTGCTTCTAATTTCATTATCTTTAATATTTTTAATTCAAAATGTATGCAGGAGGTACCCAGCCCCCACAAGCAGATTCGTTACCACCCCATCTGCCACCCCAAATGCTAAATCCCAGGAACACCACTGCTTTGCAGTATGTTATATTTTACAAGACTTTGAGGAAAGAGAAACACAGAAAGATAGTGACAATCACTGCGGGGCTAGAGAGACAGAGAGCATAAGGTTAGAGCTAAAAC